CTCGTATACTACTAATAATTAGTTAAAACGCATAATCTCAATATTTGTCTGATAGAAGGTATATTGCATGAATAATTGGCAGAGGTTCGTACTACGAATGTCGCGAATATGTATAATATCAATATACTTGTTCTGTTATAATGTACGTATTTCAAGCTACAAGTAGTATATGCAACGCGCATATACTACTTGTAGCTTGAAATACGGAAAATGCATAAACGCGAAGTTAGGAGCATGGGACGCGTAGCGTCATCATCGCTTCGCGTCACTTGGCGCGTGAAGTCGTTCGCGATCCGCGCCGAGACGAAGCTTTCTCGCCTGACACATTCACGTTTCATTTGCAGGACGTGACAGCTTGAGACAGATCGTCCGCTCCGGATCAGGTGGGCATCGGTACTTATTTAATAGGTAAGTGAAACTTGCGTTTATTTATTAACTTCTTTATTCTTTCACTGACGTATTGCATAATAGATATTTGTACGCTGATAATTCGATCGAACGCGCATTTTGCAATACTTGTTTGATTGGAAACCAAAACATGTAGCATCGCCGCGACGACACACGTTACCGCTGTGTCGTCGCATCGCTTTTGGCATTAAATTGATCGCACAGAGAACGGCCTTTTATTATTTTACAATTAAATGCAATCCATTGCGTTCTCGTTTTATTTATGAAATATCGCGGGGATCAAACATGTCGTAATTTCGTATGCTGATTTTTGCATTATCGCAACACGATTAAATACGCGTTAAATGTAATTACATCGGAACTGTTGAATAAAGTATAAAGCCGCGCGATTGTTATTCTAGTGATTAATTATAACTGCAGTTAATTATAATTAATAATTTATTTGTTTCTGCAAACATAAAGAAATGGTAATACACAAAAGAACAAATAAAATAAAAGTTGGAGCGATGACAGGGATGACGGCGCAGAGGATTGCAAGATGAACATTTTATAATTAATTAATTTTATTATTTACTATTGATGAAAGTAATTATTTATATGCATAGTACAGCATTTTAGATTTATGTAATATAATTACATTCTGCGTGTGATATACAAGGTGTTTGGAAAATAATTATACATCTTTTGCAGAGGCAGAATGAACTAAACTGACAAGAAAATTGCAAAATGGTAGAGGACTTCTCAGGTTAGTTATTCTGCCCCTATGCAAGATTTATCATTATTTTCCAAATCCTGTATATACTAACAAATAAATAAGATATTTTGTATTATATTTTAAGATTGTTTTAGTAAAATATTTATAATTGTGAATAAATATTTCAAAATATATTTAAGATATTTAATTAATACAGGTCATTTTTTAATTAAATTTTATATCAAAAATGTAATTTTAAATCTCAAATAAGATTACTTGCATACATAAACTCCAATAAAATTATTCAATATATTTATTTTAAACATTTTAGTTGAATGTATTTGTTTGTATTACAGATTAGTATTGTACGGAGATACTACAATTCCGCTGTTGCATATCGTGGGTGATTGCAATCTAATAAAGGGATCCGATAATTTGTGAGGAAGTAAAGGAAAAAATTTGAAAATTTGAAAGGAGGAAACATAGGAAAAGCATCGATTGCCGTTGGAATAACTTTGTGGTAAGCATTATTGTTTACTACAATAAAATTAGCATTTCCTTCTCGTTTATTCGGATTATTTTATTTCAATTTAAAAATAATAATTAGAGAAAATAATTAATCTAAAACATTGAAAAAGTTTACTTTCATAAAGATATTTTTTTGAATAATGAACAATTATTTTAATATTTAATTGAAAAGTAATTAAAAAATTCTGTGCGCATAAGAAATATCTTATAAATCATTGATTATTTTGTATACGTTAGTTTAATGTATAATTCATGATTGTATGTTACAGAATCATTATACTATATGGCCAATAACTCTATTAGTACGCATCGATCGGTGAGTGATAAAATATTTTATTAATGAGGTAATGAATTTTGAAAATTGTGTCATATATGTTTATATACCAACATTGTTACAATTCACACGAGTGAATATACAAAACTTCATGAATCCATTGACTTAAAATGAAAAAATTATAAAACATTGTGATAAATATTTAATCTTGGATTCCTTTTTATTATTTGTGATTTTGATACGAAAAAAATTTGCGTTTTACAAATTTTGCTGAAATATCTAAAAATATAGATGGATATATATTTTAAAAAAATTACGTTGTACCATCAAAATAATTATATAGAAAATTTAAACGTAATACAGACTGTAAAAAAGCGAAGCTATACAAACTTTTGATATTTTAGCAATCAACTCCTTTTATATTTAGGTTAATTTTTAGATATTTTATCAAAACCATTCTTTCTGTGTATTACTATGCTTAAAATTGTACCCGTACAGGTACGAAAATAGAGAAAAAAAATAGAAAATAAAATGTATTAATGTGTGTGTGTGTTATACAATAAAAATAATTTTAATACAAAATAAAGATTCGAAATTAAATCTTATTGATATAGATAACTATTATTTATATTCAATTAAATTTAAAAATAAAGAAATGTTTAAATATAAAAAGATACTAAAGTTAAATTCCTCCTTTTCTGTGGAAATATAAAAAGCAAAAATCAAACTAGTAATATATAAAATTAGAGCATAATAAAAAATGTTAATAGTTTCATATATACATATATGGAAATATATATTATTAAAATAATTAGACTTTTGTTAAATTAAAATTATTGAAATAAACACAAAATAAAAAAGAAATAAAATAGAATTACAAAATCATAAAACAAAATATTGAAAATTTATAAAGTTTTTCTAAAGATTTTATAAATATTTGCAATATGTAAAATAAAAATAAAGAATTATATTTTGCTAGGAAAAAATTTATTAAATTAGATAGGAATATTTTTCTTTCTCCTAATCCCCTTCTTAATACTTCTCCAAGATTAAATATTTTATAAATTGGTGCAAAATAACAATATATATAATACATATACATAATATACATATATTTGTATATTGATATTTTCTAATTATTATGTGAAATATAAATACTTCCTTATAAAAATAAGAAATATTACAATTAAATTATTTTAATTAGTTTAAGTGTAATGTATTTGAGTTATTATATATTTGCATATAAACACGTTGTTACATATGAATATAAATAGATAATTTTAACTTTTATAGAGCGCCAATTTTAATACAATGCTTTGTAGTTTATTCATCAGATTGATTGGCAAATTGATTTTACAACAAACAAAATAAAATAATGTGATTTGAGATCCTAGAAATATTTACATAGCAGAAATTTTTTAAATTATTATAATGTTGATATTAAAATTTTCTTATAAAAAAACAGATATTTCATATTTATAATTAATGTATACTTTTAAAATATATAGATGCAAATAATTTTCAAGACATAAATAAATAATAATAATATAATAAAGAAATATGTACATGGAAAAACACAGCTATAAGCGTTGATATAACGCGATAAAACACACAATATATAAATATTTTATAATTATTACTGAAATTTAGTATCTTCTTAGATTTCACGTCATTATTTCTTATTTGATACGCGATTAAAAAAGATACCATTAGAGATTTTCGGGTATCGATAAACCGACGGAA